AACCCTAGTTTCTTGTTAGAATGTCTACAACTTACCTATTTACTTTCATTTTTCGCCCTTTCCACTTCCAAAACCAACTAGTTTACTTTCATTTTTCGCCCTTTCCTCTTCCAAAACCATTAGTTTTAGTAACTATATATCTTTTTCCAGTTTGTCTTCCCATCCATGTGTTATTGCTGCACTTGAACAGAGCTATGATCTCACAACTTCAGTCTGATTAATCATATCAACAGTACTTTTTATGGGTGCACCAGCCACATGCTCATGTGGAGATGATAGATATCCTCCTTAACAAAATATGTCACCACTCACGTCACGACCTAAATGAACACAATAAAGAAATAATTCTACTCAAGGTTTACATAATTTATTTTATGCCATATTTTTTAATTTAATCAATTATGGTCCCTAGTTTTTCATCCACTAATTACTGCTACAAAGAAATGATAAAATTCCAATGAAAAATTCCAATGGAGATATATTCTAATTGAATTCCAACGGCAATTTTAATGGATACTCCAATGTTATTATTCCCATTAGAATTTTTCAATGGATCTAAACGAAAAAATCCAGCAAAATTATTCTGTTGGAATGAGTTTTTCATTGGAATTTGATGATTCCAACAGTAGATTTTTCAACGGCGGTAGAAATAAATTTTCCAACAGAAATTCCTACAGTAAAAAACTGTTGGATAAATAGTCGTTGGAATAATCAAATTCCATCTAAAACTCCAATGGAAAACTAATATCAATGAAATATTTTTGTTGGAATCATTCGAACGAAAGCTATACCATTGAAATATCTGTTGAAATTTTCTATTAGAATATATTACTGTAGTGTACTTTTCGGACACATTTCATTTAAAATTCCATTAAAGGACCAATGGTTTCTATTAAACCATCATCTGCCGCCCAACTGCCATTAGGATACTGCATAAAAGTTTAAATATTTTGAAAAAGTAAAATAGAGTTTTAAATTAACAACACATATGGATTTAAAATACCAAATTGATTTAACTGAAGATTATTAGTCTTGAAAAATGAAATAACATGAGAGCTCATCCATAAATTTTGGACAACGAGTTTGCCAAGGATCACCTTTCAAAATCTCAAGGTCGCGATCGAAAATTTGGAAACTTCGAATGCTTATTTTAGGCGATCGGAAGCTCCTACCAATGATCAATAGCTATGATTGAATTCCTTCAAAAAAATTCTAAATATATATTCTTCATGAAAATTCAACTATGCTGTGGATTTCCAAAATAATAATAATAATAAATAAATAAATAAATAAATAAAAAGAAAAAAAGGGCTTACTATATTTTTTTTTTAAACTTCAAGAAGGATTGAAGAATTTTTAGCCATGATTGATGAAATAGAGTGGGAATTTGTTGATATCCACTATTTATCCAATTTTTAATAATTACATTGAAGAAAACATATTGTTGTAATATAATATTTACTTGAATTTGTTACATAATTTCCTTTATATATAATTTTCAAATGCGTTGAGTCTAAGTGACATGCTCGCACGCTTCAAAATCATATGTCGCAAATTTTTAAGCTTTGATGTTTGACTTGGATGCATTTTAATTTTTTTTCAATCCAAAAGTAATTAAGTTTGGAATAAAAAAATCTATGGAGCCAACCTAACTACAAAGTAGTTATCTCGTACAAATAAAAAAAATTATAATATAAGATGATAAGTCGTACAAGTGACGATTTCATTTTAAATATAAATAATAATATATTTTTTCAACAAAATATTAAAAATTAAAACAATTTTTGGTTTTTATTATTTAATTTTGAAAATAATATTTTTAATAAGCATCAATGTAGTACACGAAACGAATATACAGGTATCTTGCTAGTAAATTAAAATAAAGTATATGAATGATCCACGTGGCAAGTGCAGAGTGCCCATATCGCAAAAGGGTGGGGCTCACCTACTCTTTCCCCCTCTGACCTCAGCTCACGTCACGTGTCCGATTTAACTTCAACCCAACCCCACCCCACCTCACTCTCATCCACCTTCATCGTTCACTCCAATCCAGTGTAGCAACTGCAAACCAAAACTCCACTCTTTATATATAGTACACACACACTCGGCAAATGGATATATGATATGACCACATTCTAATGTGTGTGTGACTGTATAATTGTGTCACTCACCGGATCACGGAACTGAGATTCCCTCCGGTGCTTTTTTCCTCCTATGCCTGCGGCCCTGTTCTAGGGCGGGGATACATAAATAATCGGAAAGCTAAAAGGCGTCGGTGTGCGCGTCCAAGTTTTTTCTGAAAGCTAGGGTTTCTATTTTATTTTTATTTGTATTAGCAATTGCCTCTATCGGCTGATGGCATTTGTGTGATAAGCGGAAGTGAATATGGCGGCTGTGAGGGGTTTTACTGCGCCGTTCACCGTGAAGCTGCTGCGGAGGTCGGACGCGGCGTTGGTTGCTGGCAAGAGTGGCCTGGTGGAACTGAGGAGGAAGAGGAGGAGGCTGCCGTCCGGCCTTGTCAAGTGTTGCTGTTCGGAGATCCGGGATGTTTGCTGGTCGGCTAAAGGCGATGACAACTGTGACGAGAGGAAATTCGACATGAAAAAGAGGCCTGCTCATCGGGTTCCTGTTATGGCTTTTGCTTCGCCTCAGTAAGTTCCTTCTCTCGGCCAGGAATTATTCAATTTCTGCTTTTCGGTTGATGATGGGAAATCATCATATTATATAAATTCATTCTGGGCAGAAGTAAAATGATACTTGATATTTTCTATTACCCTTTCTAAATCAAATGTTCCTTGAGTTATTTGGTATGCATCATGTGTTGAGGATGTTCTATATTTTTGTTTCTTTTCTTTCACACTAGCATGGTGAACTTCACACACAATGTAACTTTTCCAAGGGACATTGAATCAACTTCTTTTGTCGTGGCATAAATGAGAAAATTTCTGTTTTTGGCTTGTAAATGAAGCTTATTGCTCTCTATCTTGTAAACTCGTTTAGTGTATGTGAAAGCTTGTGATATCTAGCCTAACCTGACTTAGCATGTTGTGATGATATCTTACACAGTGAAATTGCATAAACATCTTTCTTTGCTCTGCCCATGTATCAAACAGATAGGAGCTGCAGGATGGGAGATAGAAACTAAGAAAATTGGAGGAAATTGGTTTTGAACTAATAATACTACTTGGATTGTTTGCTTTTAACTGGTAGTAGGATTATTAGGACTTATGTTTGATATAGATTATTAAGAAAGAAAATACTATTTATAGCGAAACAATATATCCACAGCTTGCGTCTGGTTGATTTGGACTGCTCGTAATCTCTTTTTGAGGGGCTTTGGCCACCTCTTCTGCTGCTTTACTTTGGTCTTTCATTTGCATTATCGTGAGCGGGTCTCAGTTCATCTTCTCGAAATATGTGCAATAGTAAAGCACACAAACAGAGTGAACTTTATGATATTATCAAGTACATCTTGTCTTGCAGATCTCGATTTGTTTCAAAGCCAGAAAAGTTCTTCTCCCGTTGCACAAGAAATTTAGGTCCTCAATCCCGCGATTCTCCCCCTCAAAGAGGTGATATATCATTTCAATGTGTGCTTACCTTTATAAGAACCTTTATGAATATGAAGTCCTGTATTTTTACCTATGTCATTCGGTACGATCAGGTTCATGTAGTAACTCTATCTATTGGCTTTTTTGTTGGCCTGGCTGATGATTTTATGATGATACTTGTTGCTTCATCACCTGTAGATACTGGCATTGCAAATGAGAAAGACTGGGGCATCAGTCTGTTGAATGAACATGTCAATGAATCTGGCACTAATGAAGATGGAAGCACTTGGTACCGTGAAAGTGGAGAAGATCTTGGAGATAATGGTTACAGATGTAGATGGACTAGAATGGGTGGCCAGAGCAGCACTTCAGAGTGGAAAGAAATGGTATATAAATATACACTTTTACTTTTTATTCTTGTGGTGGAAAGCCTTCTGAGTTGTTGGAGTTCCTTGAGATTTAATTCAAAGAAGAAAGACATTCTCAGTATCTGCCTATATTTATCAGCAACCTTTTGTGCCTTTTCGATTACCATGTAAGGAGAGTGTATCTCAAGTTGAGGGAATGAGGATTGCGTACCATGGTTTATCGCTATTTGGTCATCATATATTTGCTAGCTAAATTATTGAAGGGTTAATATATGATCTCATCTTTTTGGTCCACAAAAATTTCGAGATAAATAAACAAGTTACAGAACATCATGAAATGTGTTTTTCTGTTTCTTCAGTTCACTCCCTGTGCAATTTCTGTTTTTGGGACGACCCCATGTGCACCCAGATACAGTCAGCTCATTAAATGATAGTTGAACATGTTATTAAAACTGAGAAAAAATATTTTTTGAACTTTATGGCTTTGATACTTGTTACAGTCATTATAGCCTGCTGTTAGTGATTGTTATTCTTGTCTAAGGAGGTTTTCTACATGTACTCTTAATATTATCCTCTTTTAATAGGATGACTAATATATCGATGGGATACTTTTACATGTCCCTTCCTACACTTGCTTCTAGAGTTTGGATAATAACAATAAGGGTTTCGTTGAAGTGTTCTTAGCACTTTGAATGTGCAAACGTCCACTTTATTTAGAACATGGTATTATTTGTTTTCTTTATCTTAATTTTATTGTTATTTATTTCTCTAGGTTCTCAGTGAGCGCACATCTACTTAGTGATTGCTTTTCTATTTTTCCGAAATTTATGCATTTCTTTTGGGTGAATTCTAGTAGACCAGTTCTGTTTAGAATGGAGTAATTTACCAATTTTCCAACAAGTACTTCAAGTTTCTGGGTTTTTGTTAATTATGTGTGACTAGATAGTGTACTTATTTGGTTTTTATAAACTTATTAAGTATCATCCCAGGTGGATGCATTTAATTGGATTTGTTGATCTCCTTGACAGTGGTGGGAGAAAAGTGATTGGACTGGATACAAAGAGCTAGGTACTGGAACTCATTTGTGTTCTACGTTATTGATTCTAAGTTCTCTATGCAAACTTCTCTTCACCGATCCTATTAAATATTGTATTCTTTATCTATAGTACCTAGAGTTATTATTTTGGATAGTAATAATAATTCTCTCATGACTGCTTAATTAGAAATGTTCCCATGGATCACAGGTGTGGAGAAATCTGGAAGAAATGCAGAAGGGGATTCTTGGTGGGAAACATGGCGAGAAGTTCTTCACCAGGATGAGTGGAGGTTTGGCTTTTGCATACCCTTAATCATCCCCCCTCTCCTGATCGTTTTCCCTTAGCAGCATATTCTGATAGTTTCAACTCATGTGTTCTATTCAAAAGCTCAGTGCAGTTATTATAGAAAAAAATTGTATACTCACCATAAAGTTCCATCTTAAACTGCAGTAATCTGGCTAGGATTGAACGAAGTGCACAGAAACAAGCAAAATCAGGAACTGAAAATGCTGGGTGGTATGAGAACTGGTAAGGCTGATTAAATAGGACATATTTAACTAAAACCAAAAGCACATGTTGTGCGTATATACATATTAAAAGCATCTTATTCACTCTAGGTGGGAGAAATATGATGCAAAAGGCTGGACTGAGAAAGGGGCACATAAATATGGCAGACTGAATGAACAGTCGTGGTGGGAAAAATGGGGAGAGCGTTATGATGGAAGTGGTTCAATCCTTAAATGGTATTTTTACATCTTCTCATCCTGTTATTACAAAAGTCTCTTAATATATTTTCCTTGTTATTTGCTATTGCTTGCGTAAATATAGTTTTGGATGTGGACTGAATCTTTTTCTTCTATTCCTTTTCTTCTATACACAAACACATGTACATACCTACACACATGTATGTTACTAATAGTACCTTGGATTGCTTGAAAAATGAAAATGAACTCGTAGCTCATAATATCGATATTTAAGAACCTAATGGACTGGAATCTTGAAGTTGTGAATTCTTCAATAGCTTACTCTTGCTGTATTTATCCAGGACAGATAAATGGGCTGAGACTGAACTTGGAACAAAATGGGGAGACAAATGGGAAGAGAAGTTTTATGCTGGCATTGGATCACGTCAAGGAGAGACGTGGCATGTATCTCCAATTGGTGAAAGTATGCTATTCCAAGTTTTCTTGTGTGATAATATTGATTCCACTGGACCATTTGCTTAAAGCATATAATGGTGCAGTTTTGGCTCATCTTATTTCTAAATTACANTATATGCTTGTTTTAAGATACGGAATGATCAACTACTACGAGAGTGTGCATGTTATGAGTTTCTAGAATAACTTTGTGTTCAGACCAATGATAATTTATATTAAGCTTGATGCACATGTTAATTTGACACCTTGGGTATACTCCTAATTGACTTTTCGAACTCTTCTGCTTGATTTAATTTCACTTAACATTAGCAACTAATGATTTTTGTCACAGGATGGTCAAGAACATGGGGAGAAGAACACTTTGGAAATGGGTAGGTTATGTACAAGCTTTTATTTGTTTTTCTAATTAGCAAGCATTCTGGATAATTTAATGTACTTTCTACTATGAGTTTGTGAGTCAACAACACAATGATCCTTGATTTGCGACAGCAAGGTGCACAAGTATGGAAAAAGCACCACGGGAGAAAGTTGGGATATTGTTGTAGATGAAGAAACATATTATGAGTAAGAAGTTTCTTCTCGATTCAAGCGTCTGTCATTTTTTGTGGTTGTGCAAATAAAATGCTGGTTTTAACTTCCTTTTTTGTTAATTGAAAGGGCCGAACCACATTATGGATGGGCAGATGTTGTTGGTGACTCAAGTCAGTTACTGTCTATTGAGCCCCCAGAAAGGCCACCTGGGGTATATCCAAATCTTGATTTTGGATCATCTACACCGCCCCCACCCAAGCCACCGTCTTTTTCAGACTGACAACGGGTTGGTCGATAGTGTTCATGCTTTTAAGAGATCATTTTGGAAGTCGTCTCTAATTTGTTTGAAAATGTCATGTACGTGGATGCTATCCTGTTTATTCTTCATTTTATTCATTCTTTCAAGTATTTTTCCGCACTTTTATGTAAGTTGAGCGCTTTTAGTTGCTTTTAGTTATTGGAGTGGATTTTACGTACTTTGTGAATGGTGGATTTTACATACTTTGTGTGGTCGCTTGTTTGAATGATTCCACTGTGGGTTGGGCAAGTGACAAAAGAGCTCGAAGCTCGCAAGAGGCCGAAGCACATCAGGATTAAGGCACACACGTAAGACAAGATATGAGAATACTCAAGCAATGGACTGAAGTGTCTTCGAGTCTATTTGACTAATAAAAATTGAACAACAAAAGCCCATATATAAGCAATACCACACAATAAAGGAACACACGTTCATAATTCATAATTTAGGGAAGAGTTTTCGAGTTCAAGAAATGACATCCAACATTCAGCAAGAGATCAATCTGCAGCAGTATGGGCAGCAACCTTCAAGGGCTCTTGATGCCGAGCTGACTGATCGACCATCTTCTGCCCAAGTTCTTTATTTTGAGCCATGAGGACTTCTACCTCTTGATTCAGTGTGGCCACTTCTTGCGGAGACCATTGTTGTTAAGGGTCAACTGATCGGCGTGTTGACTCAGGAGGCGGAGATCTCCTTTTTGTCGAGCTACCTCCTGGTGGAGCTTGTTCTGATTGGCCAAATCCTCATTGAGCATGGGCGCAAGACCCACCAAGACCTGAAAAACAATCGATCAATACAACGGAAGGATCACAGATGAGACTGTAACATAAGAAAAATGAGCAAAACGATAGTTGCCCGAGACCGCGAGTTACATCCTCAGCCTGCTCTTCCTATCACTCCCTCATCGACCTTTGTCGGCCGGAGGCAGAACATTGGCCAGGTACGACGCGATGGTCGAGGCCTTGGCCGTAGTGGCGGAGGAACGGGGAGGCACAACAAGTGTATCCTCGTCGATTCGGATCTCCTTTCCCCGATGCTCGTAGTCGACCAATGTGTCCCTTTGATTGGTCGACTCGGGGAGCTATTGTTGGTTGGACCCGGGGCTAATATCTACTCGACCCCCATTGACGTCCACGACTTCCTTTTCTTTCCTTTTGTCAACGGAAGGGTTAGGAGGTCGACGGGTCCTGGAAGTTTGAGGACCTTTTTGTCTTTGGGAGGTCTCCTAACCTCCCTTGATGTTGGCAGCAGGGTTGGTGCCCTTAGCCATTTCGAGGCGTCTCTCTGTAGAAAAAAGGAAATGAAAAGGATCAATCTATATATGAAAGGAAGACGAAAGATAATCGTATAACTTAACTATACCGAGCTCTTCGTCGGACAGTAAATCGTCAACATGGGTCGAAAGACCGCAATGATAGAGAAGCCGCTCATCTTTGAGCAGCATGGAGGAGATGACCTTCGACTGACCCCATGCGGAGATCATGAGGTCATAGGTAGAATTACGGGGCGGTGGATCATAGATAAAAGGAGGTCGGTCCAGCTAAGGCTTGGGGCAAAAGGTAGAGGAGAAGGAAGTCAAAGGAAGAAAAACCTCCTCTTCCAGTTCAGAACATTGTTGAGCTTGTCGATAATGGAGTTGGCACCATGACGAGAAGCGAGATAGATACCCTTGCCCTGGTGTTTAGCCACGAAATAGTAGCGGAAAAAGTTGGGATCGACCTTTCCCAGTCGAGAATGAAAAAGAATGGCTAAGGATATACATTTACGCATGGAGTTAAGAGGAAGCTGATTGAGAAGAGTTTCGTAAAAGGAATAAAGCGCGAGTAAGACCTCGCTCAAAGGAAATCAAAGACCTACTTTGACTTGGTCCTCGAAGAAGGTATAATGACCGGCAGGGGAAAGTTCGTGGATATCAAAAGCGTTAGGGGCGGTGTAACCCCAGTTAGCAGGAATCCCAAGCAGACGCATCGAGAGTCGTTGACATTGAGATGGCAAAACTCGCTAGACTGACGGTTATCCTCTATCTCATAGGGTAGAAAATCCTCAGCAGGGTCGGCCTCATGATTGGGGAAGGGAGATTGACGCGAGGAGGGTTGCCACATGACAGTGCGAACAAGTATGGCCTCTTCCTCTTCTTTCTCCTCCTCGGATGAACCGCGAATCCGGTGATGACGACGTCTCGAAGGGGCAACCCCGGAGGTCGAACTGTGAGGATAAGGACGAGAAGAGTCGGGAGGATTACTATCAAGAGGAATAGGGCAAAGGATTGGGATGGAAGCTTGGATAGGAAGAATTGAGGTCGAGTTGGGTGGAGAACTCCCCGGAGACATGTCACGCCCCACAGAGGCGGCCTCAAAAGCCGAGGTAGTACGCGGATCTAAAGGAAAAAACAACAAAGAAAAACGGAAGATTTAGGATTCGTAGAAAAAAGGCTCGAAGAGAAAAAAGGGTTTAAGAAAGCGCGAGAATCAGAAAGACAAAGAGGAAACAAACCAAAATCTCCCTCAAATCAAAACAAAAACACACAAGAACTACAAGCATAATGCCAAAAATATAATTAAGAAGAAAGGTGAGTCGACTTACTGAGTGATGACATGATGTGGAGTTTCCGAGTGGTTGAACTGTGAAACTAAACACGCCGGCGACAAGAACTTGGAGAGCACTAGACAACAAGGGGAAGGCGCTAGCAGTGAAGGCACAAAATTGCGAAGGTGGGAAAATGAAAAAAAAAAAGGTATAACAAGAGGGAATTTATTAGATACAATACTTGAATCTGGAAGGTCGAGCATTTCGAACCGTTCGATGAAGGTCTAGATCAACGGTCAGGAGAAAAAAAAGGAAGAGGTGGAAAGACACGCATTAATGGCAGGATCTGAACAGTCACAGAGTACGAGGAGGCGCGACAGTCGAGGCGGTGGCTTCCAAGAGACGTAATGGATCAAATCTAGACATAGGATTGTGAATTTCGAAATAAAAACCCCGGCGGGATAGAAAGGAAACGATTGAAATTGAAGAAGAGAGTGAGGAGGTAGAAGAAGGCAAGAGAAGCCCAAATACTCCAAAAGTGGAGCCTGGCCGATTTAGGAGCGACAAAACCCATATCTCGAAAGTGCAAGGAGAGGAAAGACTGAACAGAAAGCCCGAAAATAGGCAAAGGCCAACCTAACAGGTCGAATACAATAGAAAATGTTACAACACCGATATTAAAGGTCGAAAAATCGAGTATAGGACTGAGCTATGCAAGCTCGATCCAGAGTGGGGGGGAGGGGGGAGGGACTACATGATATAAGATATAGTAGCAGCTCGAACCTCTCAAGGAAGCGAAGCAACAAGGCGTGTTAATGAAGCAACTTGATTCACACAGACTAAGAAAAGAATACAACCACTAAAGAGACCCATGGTCGACCTAAACTTAGGTGACTAAGAGATCGAATCGACCTCGCTCTATCCGACTGACAGGGGAACTAAAGAGGAGCACATTCTGCCACGACAGATTGTCGACCTGGTAAAGTGGATTCGACCTCATAAGGAGACAAAAAGGCATCTATCTGGGAAACTACGGCGTACGAGGATTGGACCACGCATCACGATGAGAGTAGGTCGTCTGCACCCCTGACACCTGACAATCTGAGGCGCTGCAGGTGCTGTGGGACGTACAGACAGGCAGCAGGGGCAGCCTGCTCAACTCGTTGGGCAGACTTGGGGAACAAGATACCACTCCCCTATATAAAAGGAAGTGGTAGGTTGGTTTTGGGGTTACATTCTCTACACTTTGATATACTTATTATTGTTCATTATTTTAAAATAATACTGACTTAAGCATCATAAGCTCTTCACTAGAAAATCCCCCCTTCCGGCGCTGAGTTCTTGTAGGTTTGGAAGCCGTCCGAGGTCGAAGAAGAAGTTATTGAGGTCGAAGAAGTCATTTCATCACTATAACAGTTCGAATCGGGATCAAGTGAAGTCTATTCCACTACTACTAGTTATAAGTATATTTGCAATATTTTTTTCTATAAATGAGGTTGGTTGGGTCAAATCAAAAAAATTCGATTACTCGTTCACTCGACAGATACCTGATTATCTGTGAATAAAATCCGATCGAATGTCCGATACCAAGTCGATTTCATGTTTGATTCATGCACCCAAAAAAGAGAAACTAAGGAGAACAATAAATACGAAAATTCAAACTCGCCAACTCGTAACAGGAAAAGAAGAAGAAACCAAGGACAACAATAAACACAAATTCAAACTCAGATGGTCATCTCATTCAACTTTCACAAAGAGAAATTAAGGATAACAATAAATACAAAAATTCAAATTCACCTAACTCTTAACAGAAAAAGAAAAAGAAACCAAGGACAACAATAAATACAAATTCAAACTCATTTGATCATCTCATTCAACTCTCACACGACCCTTTGCACCAAAAACAATCAGGTTTGATTCATGAACCCACATAAAAGCAAACCAAGGAGAATTTTAAATACAAAATTCAAACTTTCCTAATCATCTCAATCAACTTTCATACGACCAAAACAATGGGAACTAACAAAAAATATGCTCCTCTCATTCCCCCGTCACTCTGAGATCATTCACCCAAACAAATCGTCTCTTTCAAATCTTCTTCGGGTTAAAACCATAAAAACCTTGTAAGTACACAGAAAATTGCCAAAAACATCCCAATTGAGATTCCTCTTGGTTGTTCCCTGGATATAAGAGCCAAAACCGCCAAAACTCGAGCAGGGAGATAAAATAAACTGAAGGGTTGCGAAAACAGATAATATATATTATAATCGCAAATGCAAGAATGAAAACCCTGGCAAAGATCCTCATACAATTCCCAAAACGGGCCCTCGATCTCGACTGGAAACTCCTGCTTATCGTCCTATTTTCCGTCACATTCCTCGCCTACATTTCTCTCTCATACTCCCCAGCCTCTCTATCCATCTCTCTCCGCTGTTTTGCCCCTTTCAAATCCATATTTGGCGGCCGTGCCCCGACCGGCCATCATCCTGTCCGACCCGAGAACCCGTTAAATGGGTCGAGAATCGCCGTTTGTTTGGTGGGCGGGGCCCGGGGCCCGCAGGTTCGAGCTGACCGGGCCGTTCATTGTGGAGAGGATTCTTCGTGTTTATGAAAATTCGGATCTTTTTCTCCACAGCCCGTTGGATTCGAACGCGTACAAGCTTCTGCTGTTGAACAATGCACCCAGAATAGCTGCTGTCAGAATATTTAAACCCGAACCCATACCCGAGACTGAGTCGGAGGTCCGGGTTCTGACGGCTGCCGACTCGCCCAACGGTATACAGGTTCTTGTTCTACCTAGTTTGGATTCAAAGTTTCAGACATAACTTCGGTTAAAAAAATTCATGTGTGAAAAAAAATTCATCTGGCCTCCGTTTCGATTGGAGTTTGTTGCATTTAATTTGGATAAACCAATCTTGATTGATGGTCATTCCGTTCTCATTCGAATGGCTTAGGCGTTTAAGTTTTCTGATGCATTGAATGTTTTGCCAAAAAACATTTACTTTTTCCTAAAGAAATTTAGGTATAGATCGATGGCATTGTTGTATTAGCCACATTGGAAAGAATCGGTAGCAGTTATTTTATCTGACTATGTTCTAATCGAAAACCTTTCCAGAGCTTCGAGATCTAGACATAGGTTAGTATACTTATGTTTGTGAAGGGCCTCATTGAGAACAACTTAGCAGGTTGAGAAGAAACTAATGCTTAAAAGGGACAATGATTACTTTTTTTTTTTTTACTGAGATCGCAAATTGTGTTTCATTTGGTATTTAAGTACAGTATATGGAAAACTGTGCCTATAAGTTATGGATAGGGGCATTCATTGCTGTATTGAAGCACAGGATGATGCAGAGTTGAGTCACATGAAGTTGTTTTCACTCTTTTGATCTGCTGGCATTAGCATTACATTTTTTTAACTCATCCTTATGTTTTGACTTCTGATCATGGTTTCTTGAGTTACTTGTATTCTGAAATTTCCAGCTTTTTTCTGGGGAATGTAGTTTATTATCGTCCATTGCAGATTCGTCTGAAATTTTGAGCCGTATATATCGCATGATAGGTTTCTTATTGATTTTTAGTTGCCTTGTCGAAATTATCTGTCACCATTTTAGATTGGATAATTGGCCATTTTCATTTTATTTATTAAACAGTTGGTCGGTTCGGCTATCTATAATCGATACCCCACCCTTGTTCTCCAAGTTTTCCCTTAATTAAGATTTGGTCTGAAATTCAGAGAGAGAGAGAGAGAGAAAGAGAGTTGTTAAGCTTCCAAAACTGTGTAGAACTATTGACATAAGAGAAGTAAGGGTCTGTCTTTTGTTTGTGGCATATTTGGATACACCACTGTGTAGAAAATATCCTCTTTGTGACTCTTTAATGTTCAGACACCCTATTGGGTTTTTGAAAGACTTTTTCTTGCCCGTTTTGTTTGAAAGAGAAGTCGATAGACTGATAATTGCTTAGTTATGTTAATCCATAAATCAGCATGCATTCGTTATTATAGTTTACTGTAGTTTTGAAATGTCATATAATCAATCAGTTAAATCTTCTGCTTATGCTTATCCTCCCCTATTGGCAAAGACTGAGAACTTCCATAACTTCAGTGAGTAACTTAGAATCATTCAGGAGCATAAAAAAAGGAGTAAAACAACACGTAACTTAAAATAGTTGGCAACTGGGACTTTGATTTCACTCAGTCAGACTTATGTTGCTGCAGATCACTGTTTTTTTTACTAAAACATTCCAAATACACCACTTTCCCAAACACCATCCAAGTTGTCATTCATTTTTTATTCGAAATGAGAATATTTTTACTAGACAAGATATTGCATTAGACCTAGTGGTCGGCACTACCCATGTGCCCAATTATAATATTTTCCTCTAATTATTAGTTTGATTAAAATACTATTCACATTTTTCTTTGATGATAAAACAAATTTCAATTCCAAATACCTTTGTGTTTGCTAATGCTGTCCTGTTCCCCAATAACTGCAGGGCTTGTTGCAATATTTCATCCTTGTAGAAGGCTGCCTAAAAATGATCAAAGCATATCAAGAAGAGAAAAACTTCACTTACGACTGGGTCATCCGAACAAGAGTCGACGGGTACTGGTCCGGCCCATTGGGCCCCGAAAACTTCATTCCTGCCAAATATTTAATTCCGCCAGGTTCGTCCTACTATGGCCTAAACGATCGATTTGGAGTAGGAGACTACAATACCTTAGTTGTAGCACTTTCGAGGCTCTCCTTAATCCCTCAGCTGGAATCGGCTGGATTTACCGAACTCAACTCGGAGTCTGCTTTCAAGGCCCAACTCACCACCCAAAAGGTTGAATTCACCACCAACCCTCTGCCGTTCTGTATAGTGACTGATCGCGAATATGAGTTTCCTCCTGCCCAGTTTGGGGTGCCTGTGGCCGCGCTGTCGAGCCCGGGCCCACTTAATGGCGCCAAGTGCAGGCCTTGCAGGCCTGTCTGCACTGGATCTTGTGTTGGGCCTATCATGAATGGGCTTGCTAGAAACTGGAGCTGGACCGAGTGGACTGAAAACTCAGTTGAGCTTTGTGATGCACACGACGAGTGGGAAAATGGGTGGGAGATGTTGTTTGATGAAGTTGCTGGGAAAAACCTGGCTTCTGTGAGGAAGAAAGTTTGGGCTTTGAATATGAGCCAATGCGTTGATGGATTTGATAGAGTGAAGAGACGGACGGCCCACTGGTATGGGAATGGACCTGAGGAAATTTGCAGGCAAGGTCTGAAGTGAAGGTGACGACAAAACAAATCTAGATTTCGTAAAGAGATACTTTGAGGTTTTCTTTTGTATTCGTTAGGTGAATGACACGCGTACATTAACAAAGAAAGTGAACTCAAAGCCTCTGCATGTTATTGTCCGGGGTGGTTTGCCTGTTAGGAGGTTATACAACTGCGCGTGTTAATTATCTATGAGATGAAATACGAAATGCAACACATGAGGTTTTTCTGGTTTAGCACCCTGGATTCACAACACAATGATATATATAGTCTATTTTACATGGATATTATGTTTTTAAAAACTTTTGCAAAAAGGCGACATTTAAATACACAATATTGTTAGATAAACTTATGAGAATGACTTTGGTAAACTTCTGAGAATGAACAATGTGGCCGAGGACGGCGACGTTAGAAGGGAGCAGTGGTCAGTGGACGATGGTCGGCGGCGTCGGAAGGGAGCAGTGGTCAGTGGACGATGGCCGCCGGCGGATTTCATGCCAATGGTCGGGCTTTCACTCTTTGACGGTCCGCATCGTCGCCGATGGCGATGGTTCTGCAGCTTGTCCGAAGGGTGGTGGAGGTCACTGGCGGGAGGGTGGAGACTGCGACCGGTGGTGGAGACTCTGTGTGTGTGTATGTGTGTGCGTGTGTGAGTAGTTTGTGTGCGTGTGATTTGTTTGTGTTTGTGTGTTTGTGTGTGTGTGTTGTGTGTTGAATGTGTGTGTGCGTGTGTTGTATGTGTGTGTGGGTGTGTGTGCATGTGTTGTGTGTGTGTTAGGTGTATGGGTGGTGACGTGGCATGCTGAGGTGGATGGTGATGTGTAATGGTAATGTCTAAAATACTCTTTTTCCATCAGTTAAAGGCCAACTGAATCAAGACTACACTAGTCTTTTTCCAACAGGGGTCTCAATGCCTGTCTAGACTGTGAACAAATTATTTTATCTTATAAGGAACCGATATATGATCTTTCTGTTTGACACATCGAACCATATTATCTACAATGTAAGATAATGAGTATGATTGCATAAATAAATAAACTCCAAGCATAAGTTCTTTGACTAAAACATGATTGTCAAATCAAAATGGAATTGCCAATATCTGAAAGCCAAACTTTTACAGCATATCCTAACATCATGTTGCATCTTTTAAAATAACACGCTGCAGTACAAAAAATACAGTAATTTTGATAATCGATCGAATAGTATTAGTTGGTTAAATGTCGGTTTTAGTTTTTTAAATAAACAGAATAACCGAATATGTCGAACTATATAAAAAATATTATCGGTTTTTTTATGTATATTTTTCATTAAATACTAATTTTTATCTATATTTTTTACGTATTTCGGTTGCACATTATGGTTATATGTACTGCACATAAATGTCTACCATACTGCACAAAATCGAACGAGATCAAACCAACAGAAAATAAATGAAAATATTAAAATATTAATTATAGATTGTTTAATTACAAATTGTACTCATGACCTAAATTGTAATATACTTAAAATATTGAAACTGCAAATATGCCACTAAAAGTCATCTAATTTTCAACATAAGCTCCCCAAATCAATACAACCTCCCGTCACCATCTCCAAACTCCCGATCAAAATTTCACGGTGCAATTGTCGGCGTCGCAGCAGCGTCACCATGGTACCTGAGCTGGTTTACCCGCCGCGTCGGAGCTGACGGAGCTTGCTCTCGAAGCCATTGTAATCTCCTCCGTCACCTCCGATGTTGTCAACCAAGTGGCCATAACCATCGAGCTCTGCCACCACCGTCTCGACCAAATGAAGATCTACGGTGTACACCGTTGTGTCGTGGTGTCTGTGTGGTGATGAGATTGCTGACGGTAGTGACTTGGCTGATTCTGGCGAGAGCATACTAACGGGGTGGACCTCCGGCGAAGGCGGAGAAAGACAGGGATGGTGTCTGGAGAAGGCTAGATCTATGCCGGCACGGTGGTTGTCGGGCTTGGCGGTCGGTGGTGGGCGGCGACAGGCAGAGGAAGGTGGTGTCTACGCGGCGTCTGAATTTAGTGATTGTTTGTGTGTGAGCCGAGTGTGTGTATGTGTGTGTGTTGAGTTGAGTGTGTGATTTGTGTGTGAGAGATATTAAGGTTGGTGGTTGGGGTGGGTCCAACTGGATGAGATGGAATATGTTGTAAGGACTAATATACCCTTAATTATTAGTCAAATGCACATATTTGACCACAATAGTTCAAATGATCACAAATTTTCATTAATGATTGACCATTGTTTATGAAAGTTTGACTTGATCATGGGCGAATTGACTTGATGGATCTAGTGGTATAGAATCATTCTTATTTCTTTCACTATCTCTATTTTTCATTTGATCCTCTCTCTCTCTCTCTCTCTCCCTCTCTCTCTCTCTCTATATATATATATATATAACTTGTTGTAAATATAAATTTAGTCATAACACGTGTTACTAAAAAACATATTAATTAAATTATTTATTATAAGTTTCATTTTGTATATTAAATTAATTATAAATATTTCAAACTAAAACTAATATTTTATCATACATGCACAATGCAATGTGTAAGAATGAGTTTAGAAAACCTAAAAATAATGTGGTAAAGATACGTCCTTTGTCCAAACTAAGAATTGATAAAAGATACATATAGTATATTAGTAAAATTTAAACAAAAGATACTTTTGTTTCTAATTGATAAAAGATACATATAGTATATTAGTAAATTTAAACAAAAGATACTTTTTTTTTTTCTAATTAGTATACTTATATTATTACATTCTTATGCAAAGTCTCATATTTAAGTTTTTATCATTTTATTTATTTATTATTAATTTTTTATATCGCGCATTGTCCTTTTTTTTTATTTAATAAAATCTCGAATTAACTCGACTCCGAGAGTATTGTAGAATAATTTTATCAGAATTGTTTTATTTTCAAACTCAGTTATTAATTTGTTAGTCATATATATATATAATTGTTGGCAAGCTTTATTTAATTTTATTCAGCCTTCAATTGATAATAATATGAGTTCATTTAATAAAAATAGGTTGCATTGAATAAAAATTTTTATAATCTTCATTCAAAAACCGTTGCAACATATTTTTTTGCTTTTAATTTATTCCATACAATCATCAACCTATTTTTTACCAGTGATCTAAAAGTCGTTAGGTGCCCGCTAGGCGCTCGACCAATGCCTAGCGCCTAGAGCGCCTAGGCGGTGTCTAATCGGGGCCTAGAAATCAATATTAAATATCTTAGTTTTTATTTATTTTAACTACCTACAAAATAAAACTATCTCAACTTATAATAAATCCACATCCTAAGTCCAAATAATAATATTAATATATTGTAAAGAAAACATAAGAACAAAATAACGTAATTAGTATTAAAAAATAAAAAAAAAAACTGAAAAATTGTCGCCGAACCCGCCTAGGAGCGCCTAGGTCTGCCTATGCCCGCCTAGGCGCCGCCTAACTGCTTGGCCGCCGAGCCCGCCTAATCCGCCAAGGAGCGCCTAGGGCCGCCTAGGCGCCTGGCCGATTTTTTCGGCCGATTTGTGCAAATCGGAGGTGGTCGGGCACCGCCTAGGCCGATTTTTAGAACATAGTTTTTTACTATATTTTGAATTTGTAACGGTTGCATGCGATTACCATTTTTTATTTCTTTATATTTGGAGAATGTAACTGTTGCATGATTACGAGATAATGTTTAAACCCTTAAATTTGAATGGTTATTTTTTTTTTTTAATTTGTATGTTAACTATACTCACATGCAAAAGAAGTATTAAGTATTGATATGCTATAAATACAATAAAAAAAATCATCTTTTGTAATAGAGACCTAATAGAGATCTTTATACCAACTCATTCAAATTCAAATTTTTCATGCAAGATTGTACACTATATTAGTTGAATTTAATGAAAAATAATGATATAACTACAAAATTTGAATACTTCTATGATGCAAGATCTTTCCATTTTATTTTATATCATAAATATAGTGATAAATTTGAATATTTCTATGATGTTTATTTTTACTAACTACAAAATTTTTAAAATGTGATACTATTATTTTAACTTTTAATTTTACAATTATGCACATACACGTAACTTATAAGTTAATTTCTGTGCATGTGCATAGGATCAAAATACTAGTTATAATTAATTTGCAATATATTTTTTTCCTATAAATGAGGTGCGTTAGGTCAAACCCAATTTAGAAAATTCGATTACTCGTTTACCCTATAGATATCCAATTACCTACGGGTAAAACCCGACCAGACCCTGAATGTCAACAACCGATACCATGTCGATTTTATGTTTGATTCATGCACCCTAAAAAAAAGAAACAAATGAGAACAATAAATACAAAAATTCAAACTCACTGGTCGATTTTAGGTTTGATTTTGCGCCGAAAGAAAAAGATACCAAGGAGAACAACAATAAACACAAAAATTCAAAACTCACCTGATCATCTCATTCAACTCTCACACGACCCTTTGCACCAAAACAATCACGTATGATTCATGCACCCATAGAAAAACAAACCAAGGAGAATAATAAACAACAAAAATTCAAACTTAGCTAATATTAATAATCTCATTCAACTTTCAAACGACCCTTTGCAGTCAAACAATCAGGTTTGATTCAGGCACCCACAGAAAAACAAAGCAAGGAGAACTGTAAATAAAAAAAAATTCAAACTTTACTAATCATCTCAATCTACCTTTAAAAAACGACCAAAACAATCGGAACCCAACAAAAAATATGCTCCTCTCGTCCCCTACACCCTGAGATCTTTCACCTAAAAAAAAAGAAATCGTCGCTTTCAAATCTTCTTCGAGTGAAAACCATAAAAACTTGGAAAAGATTGCCAAGCACATCCCAATTGAGATTCCTCTCGGTTGCTCCATAGATATAAGAGCCAAAACCACCACAACTCGAGCAGAGAGATAAAATAAACCGAAGGGTTGCGAAAACAGATAATATATATTATAATCGCAAATGCAAGAATGAAAAACCTGGCAAATACCCTGACACAATTCCCAAAACGGGCCCTCGATCTCGACTGGATACTCCTGCTTCTCGCCCTATCATTCCTAGCCTACGTTTCTCTCTCATCCTCCCCAGCCTCTCTATCCATCTCTCTCCGCAGTTTTCCCCCCTTCAAATCCAAATTTGGCGGCCGTGCCCCGACCCGACCCGAGAGCCCGTTAAACGGGTCGAGAATCGCCGTTTGTTTGGTGGGCGGGGCCCGCAGGTTCGAGCTGACCGGGCCGTCCATTGTGGAGAGGATTCTCCGGGTTTATGAAAATTCGGATCTTTTTCTCAACAGCCCATTTGATTTGAACGCGTACAAGCTTCTGCTGTTGAACGATGCACCCAGAATAGCTGCTGTCAGAATATTTAAACCCGAACCCATACCCGAGACTGAGTCGGAGGTCCGGGTTTTGTCGGCTGCCGACTCGCCCAACGGCATACAGGTGCACATTCTACCTAGTTTAAACCCGAATCCATACCCGAGACTAAATTAAATGTTGCATTTAATTTTAGATAAACCAATCTTGGTTGATGGTCATTCCCTTCTCATCCGAATGGCGAGGATGCTTGGATACAAAAACTTATCAAAAAAAATTCATCATTTTTAACACAACTACTTTTTTAATTCAACTTTTTTTTAACTCCTTATAATATAGGAACCAGCAGCTGGAGTTTGCTTTTGCTTTGATGATAAAATAAATTCCAGTTCCATACCTGCAGGGCTTGTTGCAATATTTCAACCTTGTAGAAGGCTGCCTAAATATGATCAAAGCATATCAAAAAGAGAAAAACTTCACTTATGACTGGGTCATCCGAACAAGAGTGGACGGGTACTGGTCCGCCCCACTGGCGCCCGAAAACTTCATTCCAGCCAAATATTTAATTCCGCCAGGTTCGTCCTACTATGGCCTAAACGATCGATTTGGAGTAGGAGACTACAATACCTCAGTTGTAGCACTTTCGAGGCTCTCCTTAATCCCTCAGCTGGAATCGGCTGGATTTACCCAACTCAACTCCGAGTCTGCTTTCAAGGCCCAACTCACCACCCAAAAGGTTGAATTCACCACCAACCCTCTGCCATTCTGTATAGTGACTGATCGCAAATATGAGTTTCCTCCGGCCCGGTTTGGGGTGCCCGTGGCCGCGCTGTCGAGCCCGGGCCCACTTAATGGCGCCAAGTGCAGGCCTTGCCGGCCCGTCTGTACTGGATCTTGTGTTGGGCCTATCATGAATGGGCTTGCTAGAAACTGGAGCTGGACCGAGTGGACTGGATATTCAGTTGAGCTTTGTGATGCACACGGCGAGTGGGAGAATGGGTGGGAGATGTTGTTTGATCAAGTTGCTGGGAAAAAACTGGCTTCTGCGAGGAACAAAGTTTGGGCTTTGAATATGAGCCAATGCGTTGATGGATTTGATAGAATGAAGAGACGGACGGCCCACTGGTATGGGTCTGGACCCGAGGAAATTTGCAGGCAGGGCCTCAAGCCGAGGTGACGACAAAACAGATCTAGATTTCGTAAAGAGATATTTGAGGTTTTTTTTTTTATTATTATTTTTTTTTTTGTTTTTTTTCTTTAAGTGAATGACACGCGTACATTAACAAAGAAATTAAGTGAACTCAAAGCCTATGCATGTTATTGTTCGAGGTGGTTCGCCTGTTCATTCCTTAGGAGGTTACACAGCTGCGTGTGTTAGTTATCCAACGAGAGGAAATACGAAATGCAACACATGAGGTTTTTCCGGTTTAACACCCTGGATTCACAGAACGATGTACATATAGTATATTTTACATGTATACCATGTTTTTAAAAAACTTTTGCGAAAAGACGACATTTAAATAAACATATGCAAACCATTTATAAATTAGACATAAATCCAAAAGTAATGCAATATACAAACCATTTATAAATTAGACATAAATCCAAAAGTAATGCAATTTATAATCAACGATAAAAATAAACTATTAATAGTTAGAATATTTGTAATTAAAATAAGAAAAAAATTATAAGTATAAAGATAAAATGATATGTGAAAGAAAATGGTGTAATTTTCTCATAAATTATTATACATTGATAAAAAAAATACTATAATTATACCTATATTTTATATATAGGCACGAGCTATAAAAAAAATACTATAACTATACTATAAATACTATAATTATACCTTCATTTGTCAAAGTAATTATATGAACTCTTATCATTGACTCGTTTTATCACTATACTAGTATGCAACTCGTGTGACGCACGAGCTACATTTATATATGGGCTTTTATAAATTGAATGTCATCCGACAACGAAAGAGTTATCATGCATAGGTACTTGTCCAATTATAACTGCTCGACATGAAAAAAAATCTTATAATTAAAAACTTCCTTGTTCAAAATATTATTAGTTTGATTTTTTGAGAACTAGTTATTGTCTCACAAATAGTACAAAACATTATTAGTTTGGCGACCCGATTATTCGTAATGGATCTCAAAAGCAAGAACTGCTCTACATATTCTCCTCAAATAGTGCAATTTATCATATTTTCTCAAAGAAGATCACATATCAGTTAGATAGTAAATATGCTAGTAGACAAGGTTTTTAAAATCGAGATTCTAAGTAGAATCGTTTTGGGTGCAGAATCGGAATCGTAAAATCGTAAGACTCTACTCAAAACGTCTAAAAATAATTATTTTAACTAGTTTTATGGTAATCAGAATATGTATCAAAATGCTAAAAAAAACCACCACTTATTTTTTAAAATATAAAAGTTTAGACCTATTTGAGGTTTTCCGATTGAATCAGTTTGAATGTGCATAATTCCATACTCCAAAGTCAGAACCAAAACACAGCCAAAAACAAATCACCAAAAATAAAACGTAGCTGATCAATCTCCATGACTTTAGGTGGTGTGCATCACAGGAAAAACAAGGAACAAAATAAATACCATTTTAACGTCAGAACCAAAGTCACGGCCATCAAGGCGTCAACCAAAAATTCAATCTTCCTAATTCCCAAAACTGTGATTCTGTGAACTTCCCCTGTTCCAACAATGATAAAAATAAAAGTGTAGGGAGATAAGTAGGGATAAATGGTTACCTCTAAATGGGAGAACAACAAAGCGATGAAGCTTAATTACTGAGAAGACTGCTCCGACGAAGAAGACGCAGGCGTCGAGGCCGAGCCATTTTAACGTCGGAGTTCGGACTTTCGGAGGCTACAGCCGTGTGAACTCTAGATTGTGGAGGATTGGAGGCCGAAGAAGACGTGAGAGAGAGATGGATTTGGGTTTACGTCGGAGTAGGACGGTCGGCCGGCGAGGGATGGAGGTGAAGAAGTCGCGATTCGCGACGGAAGAGCAGAGGGAATTAGGATTAGGGGAAAATGAATTCACATTAGGGATTTTAGGATTTGTTGGGTATTTTTTAATTTTTTTTTAATTAATATGTTTTGGATTGGGTCAAGGGAAGCGAATATTTATGCTTTTTTGGGCCAATTTGTATAAAAAAATCAAAAGAAACAGCCCAAGTGCCCAAACGCATCCAAATTTTAAAATCTGGTTTATTTTTTGAATTTTGCACAGAATCGGTCAAAGTCGTAGAATCGGACCGATTCTACGACTTTGACCGATTCTACCGATTCTGCAGCGACTTTACATTTCTTTGCGATTTTGAGCGACTTAGAATCGATTTTGTGACTTTGAGTCGTAGAATACGACTCAAAGTCGCGATTTTGATAACCTTGCTAGTAGTTAATATAAACTTGATGAAAGAATCAAATTAAACGCATGAAGTAGAATACTAATAATGCAATTGTTGACACCCAAAAGGACTCTACGACTGAAGCGTGGCGCAAATAATGTGACTATTCAGCGGCGTTTTGAGACTTGTTTTGATGTTCATATATTCTAGGCAAGTTGACGTGGGCATTATCTTGGTTTTGCGATTCTTATGATCTTTGAAAAAAAATATACAGAATGCGAAAAATTGATAGAGCGCGCACTTCTTGTGTTATCTAACAAAAACCTCTTGTATTTTCATCTAATCATTTTTCTTTTATGTTTCGAATCCTTTAGGAAATCTGTTTTTTGTAAATTTGTTAGTTCAATGATTTGATTGGCCCGTATATTCTTTGTTTAAATTGAATGGATTTTGATTGTATCTATACGCTCTTTCGTGGAAGTTTTGTTTGATCTCTATTTTTTTCGGGTTGCTAACTCAACGACAAAGTACTCGGCTTTTAAGTGCGGCTAGAATCTTTTATACATTTGGAAGAAGTGAGGACGAACTTGATCTGCGTGGTGGCGAATTGTTTTATCACTTTAATATTCTTTGGAGTTCGAGGTGATTATCGACGATTTGATTTGTCATTTTATTAGTATTCTATTAATATTCGAGATGTGCGACAAATCGAGTTCGCATTTTCTTACCTTCTTTACTTTTTTGTGTTTTTCTTGTTTCTCTTGTTTATGTATTTTTGTTCTTTTTTTTCTTACCTTCTTTTCTTTTTTCTTTTTTTTTTTTGTTTTTCTTGTTTCTCTTGTTTATGTATTTTTGTTTTTTTCGTGCATTTGACTCGAATCTATTGCATAGTTATATTCGGTCCTTGTCTTCTTTCTTTCATTTGTTTGGGTACGTAATGAGAATATTGCGTTGTTTTAAGGAGGTTTTTGAGAATCTTGTATATTTATGTGGTAGCTCTTAGGCTTATTTTGCTTTTATTTTTGCCTAATTTGATTGTAAATGAACTGATTTTGTGTATTTGAGTCAATTTTCTCACATCTATATATATATAATTACTAGCTCAAAACATTTAATAAAACCTATTTAATTTTACCTATGTGGCAATTTAACAATTTTCCCTCCAAAAACCGTTACATTTGATGTGTTTAATCTTCCATTTAATCATTAAATAATTAATACTCATCACTTCAAAATTACAAAAATTATTTTAAATTTTTTATTAATGACAGTTGATCATATAATGTGTTGACCGTATAATGTGATTAGATGTTATTATTGTTGTTACATTTAATTTTTTTTAAAATAAAAAATATATTTGAAATTTCTAAATAAATAATAAATAATTCACAAATAAAAGACGTACCAAAATATACACTACATCCAATCAGATAAACGCAATTTAAAAAAAAATATTCCAACTTTTTTAATTGTAAATTTGGTCTGCAAAAAAGTGAAAGAAAAATAATTAATCATTATATGCATATAGGCTCACAATAATTTATTTATATCTGTGCAAATGCACAGGTCGAATACTAGTGAAGTTTAATGTTTGGTCTGCTAATTTTTTATTTTTGATAAACGTATTTATTTCATTTTGAATTGTCTTAATTTATGTCTTACTAGTGAAGTTTAATGTTTGGTCTGCTAATTTTTTATTTTTGATAAACGTATTTATTTCATTTTGAATTGTCTTAATTTATGTCTTCCAATAAATTGAAGGCCGATGATTTTAAGTTGATTTGAAGATTTATTTATGTGGGACACATAATTGATTGAAAATCACGGACTTGTTTTCACAAATTTACAAATGCTTCTTACGCCTTCAGAGTTTGCAATCTAATTTTAATTTTCGAATTGCGAAGATTTGTTTGTTAAAATGCCAACCAAATACAGAATAACCTACTTGCAAGTTTTGTTATTTTATACCGACAGATTCACATTACATTACAGCCCAGAACAAATAAAAAAAAAATTGATAAAACGAGATAGATAATTAAAATCACTGAATATAAGATTGTCCAGTTATGTCGAGATCTCGATCTCCGGTGGACGGCGGTGGCTTGTGCTTGGGCTCGACGGTGGCTTCAGCCGGCCCATCTGCGCTTTGTGTTGCACTGGCCGGTGGCTTTTTTTCCGGCTGCTTCGGCTCCCTATCGTCCGTGCCATACATTCCGCCGCCGTAGGCTTCCTTGGTGAGCGGTTCCATGGCTGATATATGCGGCGGTTGGTGTTTCTGGCCGGCGGTTTCCTCCGATTCCGGTTCCTTGTTCTCTCTCTCCATTGTTCAACTTTGTTCTTCTTATTTTACTGCTGTTTCTGAAAGTGTTGGAAGTATTAAGTAGCGATTGCTGACCATTTTATCAGGTCTGTCTGACGAGTTTGGGATCAAAAAGACACGTTTTCGAGGCAAAACGTGGCAACAAATAGCCGTGCCACGTGGAGAAGGGCATGCGGTGGATGCATATCCGTAGCCTTCGCATTTTCAACGCTTCTGATAAGTATATCAGATTTATTGCCACAAGAAAATACCGCAATTTACGCGCTTTTTTATTAGTTTAAAAGTTAAAACCAGTGTTTTAAATAGCGATGGTCATACCGGTCAAGTAACCGGTACGCGGTATTACCGGTAGGATCGATAATATCGGTGGTATTACCGGATTAGCAAATATAATGATATATATAAATATACATAAAAATATATAATATCAAATGCAAAAAAGTAAAAAATAAATGACCATAATCATTAATTACAACTTCTCAATGTTAAAAATTAAACATTTTAACTACTAATTTGAATTTTATTTTTTTAATTAATTTTATTTTTTTTAATTTCTTTTTTATTGGCCCGTTTTGGACCGGTATTTTGCGGTTTTTGCGGTATGATCCCGGTACAAACCGGTATAACCATAAA